AGTAACCGATTAATCGTTAACTGACTGGAATATAAAGACTATAAAACACAACAGAGCAACCCACTTAGAGCATTAATTATACCAAAATTGTAAAAAAAAAAAAAAAAAAAAACTTTTGCATTTAAGATAAAAAAAACAACTTTTTCCTCTGTCAATATGCTCTATCCAGAACTCTTCAAGTGGAAAAGTCTAAGTTGCACCTGGTTTAATTTTGTAAAAAGTCTTCTCTAAGGAACCTTTGGCGATCCAATTATTAATCAATTAATTGAAAAAATAATTGACAGATTAATCGATTTGTGAAATAATCGTTGCAGCCCTAATGATGCTGCACAAGGAGGCAGAATGTTTGAGGCATTTTTGATGCGTTTTGGAATTTCTTGCGAGTAAACACCAAAAAAGCCAATTCAGAAAGTGTGGAGGTGAAATTTAAGCAATGACTCCACATCTTGTCAAAACTTATTGACTTTCAGAAGTCTTTAATTTTGAAACATTTTATGATGTTGCAGTCACAAACCTTATTTTGCTGTGCAGCTTTGCTTTTCATAGTTATTTATTGGAAGGAAAACAACATGTAAAATGTATTTGTACCCCCATATAAAGATGTTTTCAACGAGTGACCTGATTAAATATAAATCCAGCTGTCCTGAAAAGGCCTCACATGATTGTTTGTGATATTACTGCATAATTAGGAACAAGGAGCACTCAATGTGATCTGCTAAATAAAAGAACATGCATAAACTGATGACATTTTCACACACACAAGATTCATTTGGAGATGTGTTTGTAAGGTGATAAAATGGGGAATAAAACTTTTAGAGAGAAATACCAAAAACCAACCCATTACGTTAATGTGAAATATCAGTTTGTCTTACAAATGTGTACTGTTCCTAAGGTAGAATTGAATTTTTAAATCAATTGTACAGAGCACAGATCTGTTCTGCCTTCACAAAAGAAAATCTTTTTCTTTTTGACAGTGGCAGATCCTTTAGAAGAAATTCCTGATGACAACCACAGAGTATTCATGCAAAACTATTTAAAACTCTGGCCTTACCCGCATCAGATCCAGATAAAAGTTGGAGAGACTTTAAAGGCTGAATATAAAGGCGTGATGCAGACATGTAAGATCATCACAGCTGATTGCAGCTTAATTGAGGTCATTTTTGAGGTATGTGTCTATGAATGTGTATTTAGTACATTAAATAATATAATTTATATAACTTTGAATGAAAAATAAATTTCTGTTTATTTTTGACTTTAGAGTGATCAACATAAGGAGTGGCTCTACCGAGGCTCGTTACGTCTGGAGCATGTGCTCAATATGAATCAAAAGTTGCAGCAGAATTCAACAAAGTAGCTTAATTGGAAAGAGGTACGTGTTAAATGAAATAATTTGACCGATTTGTCATCATAATATTAATTTTGACTGTTTTTTTTTTGCTCACTAGGATCATTGAAGCCAACGTATTGCGTAAAGGAGGAAGATGACCATCTCCTGGTGCACATATTCCAGAGGTTTTCCAAATTCCTCTGCCATTAGGAAATCATGTACAGCTTTTCTTAAGTCACACTGCAATGCTCGGCCTGCAGCGGTATCTAAGTTGAAAGCTTTCTGCGGGTTGTCCAAAAGCCCATGTTAATATTGAGTTCTAGAAGTGACGGGCCTGTCTCCAAAACAAAAAGACAAAACGGTGCCTGCATGCTGGGAAAGAGCCAATGATTTTTGAGCCACTTAAGGTTATACCTCAATGAAGTTCCTGAGAACTCTTAATTTTCCAAATATGTTGAATTGTTGCTACGTTTTTATAGTATGTTTTAAAATATGTTTTTTTGGGAGTATTACTTTCCATATACTCTGTATTTAAAATAAAATTTATCACATCTTCATCATGTATGCATTAGTTACTGTAATTAAGAACACATTAGATTAGATTTGATTTAACTTTATTTTGTCATTACACAGTTACAGGTTCAAGGCAACGAAATGCAGTTTAGGTCTAACCAGAAGTGCCATAGCAGCAAGTGCAGGATAAATAATGGTTCCATAAGTACGGGACATGGGTTTCTACTGAATAAATATAGAGATGAATACCATTATAAACAGAATTTTAATACCGTAATAGATTTGTCCTATGAATATAGTATATAGATAACTAGTGTTATGAACTAAATTTACAGCTGGATATGTACCGAATATAATATATAGGTGGATATTACTATAAATAGGGTTTTTACAGATATGTACAATAGCATAATATACAGATGATTGTTATTATAACAGAGTGATTAAGAACACATCTACCACATCTCATGTATATATATATATATATATATATATATATACATATATATATATTATATTGATCTCATGGGGAAGAAGAGCGCCTCAAGTTTATATAAACGTTTAGGGATAACAGTCTTTCTTCCAGGTCCAAAACAACTTTTAAATCAGTTTGTCTTTAAATAGGCCCCAGTTTTCCATATTGTATTTTAAAACCTGTTATATTTTAAGTGGTAAATAATTATGTCCATTTTGACGTAAATGGTTTAACATTTGGTAGAATTTGTATGTTATTTGGTTATATATGATGAGGTATTAAGTTAATAATGGCTTTCATTTAAAAAAATTAGGAAAAAAGATTACGGTACATTGATTTTATTATAAATTTGTATTTTGATTGATTTTTTTTTTTCCCATGAAATGTCTTTTTGTTGATTCTGTGTGCTGTGATTCTAAGGAACAGATGTTATGAGGTAGCCTGATAAACCAGACTAAATGTGAGATTAAATGTATAATTTAAAAACTCGCATGCCAAAATGATTTTGGCAGCTGGCGGGTGGGGCTGGTTTCCTAGGCTAGTTATGATGCAAAACAACCTTGATCAGTAGTTTAATTGTGGACAATCAAAGACACATCCTAAAGAAAACAAAAAAAAAAAAAACAGCACAAACATTGGTTGTTTTAACTTTTATTTTTTTTTAGTTATCTACCAATGTCTTCCTTATGGGAAGTAAGATAGTTTACATGGCTGGGTAAAAAAGGTAAAGGAGGTGCAAAGGTTTTGGCCAACCTAAATGGGCATTTCTGTAAAAAATGCTTAGGGTTTCAGATATATAAATACTGTATCAATTATTTGCATCATTTGCTTTTTGCTAATTCAAATTCATGTTTATAATGTTCCTGAACTCTGCAAAAATTTGCAGTGATCACTAAGTCCTGTAGTTTACTCAAATGCATTTTTATTCTAGTCGGTCACATCTTATCTGGGTAATTAAGCATCATAATACCATGATCATTAATCCATGGAAGTTTTGTACAGATGGCCAGGAGCTCATTCCTGCTAGAAAATCAAACAAGCCAAATGGGCCTAATATTTGCTGGTAGATGGCTGAGTTCACCAATAGCCTCCGAAACAAGTTACTAACAGCAGCAGGTGAAATGGAAATCTCACTCTTGGTCTTAAGCAAATGAAATACACTGTTTCAGATTATTGAAACTAATTTTAGTTGAATGGAAAATATACTTAATTTGAAAAAAGACAAAGCATGGCTGTAGCCCGTGAATTTATTTAAACCCTTGAATGCACATTGATTCCTAATCAAATGAATGCAGCTAACGCTTCCACCCACAGCTTTTTAACCAAACACTACATTAATATGCCATGGTGCAGCATTCTGAGCTACGGAAGACGATTAAGGCCACTGAATTTTTTTTTACGAAATTTAACTGATTTTTACATTTTATTTCAGTATAATATGAGAAAAATCTCAGAATTCTGACTTTAACCTCATTCTGACTTCAACCTCAGAATTCTGACTTTATTCTCAGAAGTCTGACTGAATTCTGACAGCTAAGAAACATGTTAGCATCAAGCCATAGCTATGTCTGTTTTAAAGACTAAACTAGATCTCTTATTTTAATCACCTTCTGTTCTTCCATTAATGAAATAGCATCACGAGGGACCCTTCGGGCATGTAAAAAGTCACCAAATTCCATCATTTTCCACCAATGTGTTACTGACCCTCCCAAACAACTCACATCTTTGTCAGTGAAGCTGAGTGTTCCCACATCTCTTCCTTCATGGTGCCCATCTACATTAAGTTCCAGAATTCTGAGATTAAAGTCAGAATGAGGTTAAAATAAGAATTCTGAAATTGAAGTAAGAATAAGGTAAAGTAAGAATTCTGAGGTTAAAGTCAGAATTCCGAGGTTAAAGTCAGAATGAGGTTAGAGTCATAATTCTGAGATTAAAGTCAGAATAAGGTTAAAGTCAGAATTCTGAGATTAAAGTCAGAATAAGGTTAAAGTCAGAATTCTGAGATTAAAGTCATAATGAGGTTAAAGTCAAAATTCTGAGAAAAAAGTCAGAATTCTGTCTTTAATCTCAGAATTCTGAGAAGAAAAGTCAAAATTTTGAGATTAAAGTCAGAATTCTGAGATAAAAAGTCAGAATTCTGAGATTAAAGTCAGAATGAGGTTAAAATCAGATTTGTGAGATTAAAGTTAGAATGAGGTTAAAGTCAGAATTCTGAGAAAAAAAGTCAGAATTCTGAGATTAGAGACAAAATTCTGGGATTAAAGTCAGAATGAGGTTAAAAACAGAATTCTAAGATTAAAGTCAAAATTCTAACTTTTTTCTCATATTATACTGAAATGAAATTTAAAAATAAGTTAAATTTTTTCAGTGGCCCTAATCCTCTTCCGTACTAAGGCCTCTTGCTTTTTTAACACTGACCTTTTTAGTTGCAAGGGGTTTTAGGGTTCAATAATAACACACAGCCATTAACAGTTATGTACTAAAAAGTATTACCGGTCTGATTTAATATTCTTGCTTGCTATAGAATTAACTATAAATATATATTATGAAGGAAGTTTTACTAATGTTTTTTGAGTATTTAATTTTCAGCAAACCCAGCACAGTAACAGTACTGCGTGTGACCGCGGGGAGGCGTTACAGCGTTACCAGTTTGAACCAGAACTCGCTTTGCTGGACTGACCGAGAAAAAAAAAAAAAAAAACGTCGGCTACGTGATAGCAACGAAGCGATTAATATCGGCTTAGCTACGACATCATAGAGAAACACAAACGCCACCACGGATTTTTTATGGGACAAACGCACAGGCCTCGCTGCGAAAACGGTTAATAACTGAATTGATTATTTATATTCTCTACATTTTAACAAAGTTAAACCACCGTTAGCTCAGCCGCTAGCTCAACCGCTAGCATTACTTGCTGTGCAGCTAAGATGGCGGTGAAATTATTTACATTAGCTAATAGCTAGTGGTTAGCATAGGAAATATGCGCTGGTTATTCTCTCGATGGTCCTAATGTTTTGTGTTATTTATTTAAGTTATGGTGCTGGTTGAAAATATTAGTATTATTTGACATTTTATGAAAGCAAACGATAGTTTAATGTCCGGTTTTGATATTGTAAATTCAGCTGGTGGCTAACGTTATTTCATGAGCTTGGAATCAGAATAGGAAGCTTTCACATATCCCCAGTCTTAGTCGGATACATGTTCCTTCTGTACAATTATCTAATGTAATAAAATGTATACTCTAAGAACTCTTCAATAAGTGTTTAAAAACACGGACACCTTTGCCCGTGTCCACATATTTGCGGGAGTCTAGCTCCAACATGCCCCTCCTGCCGTAGCTATTTTTGCCTCAAGGCTCTGGTTCAACTTTCTACAGGTTGCAGTTAGATCCAGTTTTATGAGTTTTCTTTTAGCTATACCTTAGCTATCCTTTTTAATATACGTACTACACGCTCAGCTTGTAGAATAACATTTCTCTAAAATGAACATCCCCATCTAGCATAGATAGAAATTACAGTTTCCATTTGGTTAGTGATTTATTATTTTTTTTTTTTATGTAGTAGGATGCCTATTAACTTCTTGAGGCTCATACTGAAAGTTCTGAAATAAGTGATCAGTCATCGAAAGTTTCAAAATTTTAGCAAAGTGTGGTATTTCATTATTTTTATCATTATTGCACATTGTGATAATTAAATCAGCCTTTATCCAAATCAAAATCCTTTCTCCTTTTTCCCCTCAATGTCTTTAACTTTTCTAGAGCTTTACATCATTTTTTGGAATAAAGCACTTTGAAAGTTGTTCTAAACGGCCAATCATATCATTGGCAGGGAGAGTTTTATTGCATTGCATTTGAAATATTTCTCTATGCTAATTATGGGAATCTAATATTTTCTTTGCGATTTTAATATTGTTTTGATATTGCAGTGACAGTTTGCAGCTGAACATGTCATGCACATTCACTGTCACCATAAATAGGTGATAAGGGTGGAAAGGAGTAGCTCACTATTATTTTAGGGAAACGAATTAAAGCATTTTAAAGGAATACATAGTTATTGACTAAACAGATGACTGTTAAGAATTTTGATTATATTTCACATTTCAAACCAACTTTCATAGTTTTCCAAAAGGTGGGATAATGTTGCCCTGGACAAATGCAAATCATATCTTTTTTTAGTACATAATGTCCTGTTTTATACATCACCTCCTATTTTATGAAATTTCAAGTATGAAAAGACCAAAAATGCAAAAGTATGAGTTGTAAAAAGTTGGAAATTTCTCACTTTTGATTCTGTGTTATTTGAGTCTGGTCAGAGGTCAGGTTAGATGCTCAGGATTTAATCTATTATACAACACGTTAATGAGTATATTAAATGGAAACATTTGTTTGATACAGTTAATTATTTTGTTGGACTTTTTTACAATTTTATTTCCCTTTCTATCCACTCACTAGATGCCTCACAATAGAAGATACGGCTCTTCAGATAGAGATAGCCGCACAAGCTATCAAGACAGATACAGAGACCGAGGACGAAGATACCGCCACAGAAGATCACCGACGCACTCCTCCAGTACTGAAAGAGAGCGTGACAGAAGGGGACGGGGGCACCGACAAGAAGCAAGTTATCTACGCTCAAGGAGGTATGCAGTGCATAGTGGGAAATCTGTTCATAAGTGTTGCATATTCAGACATATATGATCGTGAATATACACCTCAAATTGTTTCCAACCAGGGAGTATCATTTCCTTCTGATAAAACTCGAGAAACATTTGTCATATATATATCAAAAGATATTGATATTGGTGTTTCTTTGTGTAGCCGCAGCTATGACAATCGCTCAACAGAACACCGGCCGTTTGACAGAAGATACTATGAGGGATACAGACGACTGGATCAAAGCCGTGAACGAGACAGGGACAGGGAGCCGCACGGAGCAGCGGAAAGCTATTACCCTCGAGATTTCTCCCCAAACATGTACGACTACCGACACGGCCGCGAGAGAGAGCGTGAAAGGGATGACTCATACCGGCGAAAAGGCAGCAGGCGTAAGCACAAACGAAGGCGGCGTAGAACCAGGTCCTATAGCGCTTCCTCCTCGGTGAGTACAACTACGTCCGAGATTGTTCTTTAACCCCTCATCCTTTCCTCTCGTCTCTTTCTTCTTTTAGCTGTCTCTTTCTGTCTTTCTTTAACCATTTTTCCTTTTCAGCACATGGACTTGGTAAGTATTACGTTCCTTATGATTTGTTTTGATCTGTCAGCATTTCGCTCCTTTTGTTTACTTCTTTTTTTTGCTAAAACAGTTTACCCTATTTGTTTTTCTTGTTTGTTTTTTTTGGAAGAGCATTTTCATTTTTCTTTTTTTTTTTAAAACCCTCAAGGAAAGTAGCTGTTCTATTTCCCCTCCTTCACATGCATACTCTTGGAAATTCCCCAGATTTAAATCCCTTACTACTTCCATGGTTTATTTTTCTTTTAAAAAACTTCATTAAGCCTTTTTTTTTGTCTTTTTTTGGATTCTAATTGCTTCCTGGAAATACCAGAATAACATTTTTTTTACCTTTTTTTTTTTTATATAGTTTACTGTAGTTAACTTAAAAAATGAAAATGTTCTGCCAATTTATTTAGATTTTTATAGCTAAAGACATTTTATTACTCATTTGACTATAATTTTTTCAATATTTTTTTGCTTTGTGTGTTAAATCACAGCTGATAGGAATGATAGTTTGAGTTACTGTCAGAATTTGGTTTTGTAAAATTATGGTTCATTCAAATTTCTTCTGTATTTTCATCTTGTTTAGTATGAAATTTCCCAAAATGTTAATGCATTGGTCTTTATCACTGTCATATATTGGTGTTTTGAGTTGATGAATGGATTTGAAGGTTGCTTCCTTGTTTGTAAGCAGCTCTGGTTTAAAATTAGAGGGGGGAGGAGGAGCAGAGGACAACATGTGATCTTTGACTTGTTCCCTTGCACTATATCCCTATCGTTTTATATTATTCCTACACGTGGTGTCATACGTGAATCGCCCAATGACCACGAAACCCACCTACAACCACAACTACATCATCTACCACCCTCCTTCTCCTTCCTCATCCACCTGTGCCGCCTGATGCCACGGCTGCCTCTGAAATCCCCCATCGGTCGTGCTACGACCCGTTGATGGCGGCTCGGGTGTGAAAACAGCGGAGCGCCAGTCGGACACGGGCTCTGAGTGTGAGAGACGACGAGGAAGGGCACCTGATCTGTCGGAATGGGGACGTCCTGCAAGAGAGATGTACTCACTGCCACTACTCTATCGTAACCCTTCTGCATATGAGTATTATCATAGAGCATTTACATGACATGGAAGTGCCTGATGATGATGCCTTGCTAGAATGCTCTTTGCTCTAGCTGAAGTAGCAGGGTGGATTGCAAATTGTTGATGAGTTTTTAGGGGGATTATACAAGATTTTAAACTGTGGAGCATTTTTTTGTGTTTCACAGGTTGATTTCCCTAAATATAGAATCCAATTAGTAGCTGTTGGTTTCTGTTCTGCTGTAGCTTTTAACTTGGTTACAGGGTGTACATCTGTAACTTCAGCCAGCTTTTTCTCACTGCCAAGGTTTCAGTTATTTTTCATATTAGAAAAACTAAACGCACCTCACCCATTTAGCCTTTTTGGACAGAATTATCTTTAAAATTAATACGCTTTTGTAGCAGTAATGTTTTAGAAATGCTTTCAGCTGACTTTAGTATTTAAAACTTAATTTACATTTTTGGAAAAAAATGAACCTTTTTTTTGCTTGTTGCTGAAGATAAAATGTTTTCTGTTAACTTTAAGTAGCTGCAAATAGTTTTTTTCAGTACCTGTTGCGTATTTTTACTAAAATAAACAAGCAGCTTTTTAAGAAGGGGATGGGCGTTAGCACAGATTCGCCTGTCTGCATTTTAAAATGTTTTTCTCCCAGTGTCCACATCTTTAACACTGCCGCTCTCTCTTTTTCCACTTCCCTGTGTCTTCTCCTTTTCTGTCTGTATTGTGTTGCAGATGAGGTTGTCAGCACTTTGGGGGAAGGTACTTTTGGGAGGGTGATGCGATGCATCGACCATCGAAGGTGAGTTTTTAGAAGGAACAGCAGCTCTTAGCCTATTTGGGGTTTAGTTTACAGTTAACCCAGCTGGGCATCATTTCTAACTCTCCTTTCTTTGATTTGTTATTTATGGAAAAAAAAAAATACTGTTTTGATGCTTGTTTTGAGTACAATTAAGGATCTCTTATTATTCAGTCTCAATATTTGTACTCTGATTAATTAAGTGAATTATACCCATTAAATTTTTTTTCACATTTTAATGTTGCGACCAGTGTATGATTGGATTCACTGACATAATTATAAACTACGATAAAAAATTAGGAATTTTCTTTATATGTCATTTTATATCCAACCTGAATAGTATGGCATGCATTTTTGTTCAGCCCCTTTAGTTTGAACTCCCTATGCCATAGTAATGGATGTCCTAAAGGATCTATGGATAGTAATACTCCTAAGGATACTCATTGGTTTGGTATTTATTTGATACTTTTAGAGGTAACATCTTCTTTTTTATCAGCCAAAAGGTTATAAAGAGTCATACTGAATAGGGTTATTTGTTAAACATTTTTTAAAAAGCACATATAACATGATATATAAACAGAACATTAAAAACACAATTTTAAAGAACTTTATAAAGACAATTAAAGGCTAGAACACTATCATGAATAAAGTTCGATATCATTGAAGAAGAGAGGAATATCAAAATTGTCAAGACAGAAAGGGATTAATAACACCCTAAATATGCTTTCAAACAAAAAATGAACTGTATGAAATCATTTCAATTATTCATTAATATTTACCTGAACCCAAATTAAAGTACTTTTCATTGCGGTTGCATGAAATATTGCTTTTACTTTGGTCAAGTTTTTTTTTCTTTCTCTAATTTCCATTTGTTAAAAAGATAAATCTTATTCTTTTTACACCTGTTCAATTAAGCTCTATTAAAACGATTTACTGTAAAAAAAAAATAAATAAATAAAACATTGAAAAACGCTTGAAGCCTAAGAATAATTTGATAAGGTATATTATCAACTAATGTGATTTACTGTCTTCTTTTCTACAGGGGAGGAGCCCATATTGCTTTAAAAATTATCAAGAATGTAGAGAAATACAAGGAAGCAGCTCGACTAGAGATAAATGTTCTAGAAAAGATCAATGAAAAAGATCCTGATAACAGATAGTAAGTTTTGGTACCTACCTTAGTGATGTCTGTTTCTCCCATTTTTAACACTGTTTTATTTGGCTTTGGTGTGTGTTGGATTAACTAGCCCATATTTCCCTTGCTTTGTTTTGTCTTCCAGCTTGTGTGTACAGATGTATGACTGGTTCGACTACCACGGTCATATGTGCATCTCTTTTGAGCTGCTAGCTCTGAGTACTTTTGACTTTCTGAAGGAAAACAACTATCTACCCTATTCAATTGGTCAAGTCAGGCACATGGCCTACCAGCTCTGCCTTGCTGTGAAATGTAAGTGTTCTAACTTTTGTTTGAGAAAGATCGGCACTTAATTATGATTAAACCAGTGGCTTTATCATGCATCTTATTTTATTGTTACGGTAAATGATTATTAAAACGTTCACAAATGTCGGTGTCCTTATTGTGTTATCAACAAGAACTATACATTTTAACAAATTAAATGGCACTGGGTTATATGTTCGAGTTTTTAATTATCTGATTTTGTATCAGATAACAGGACCAATTTTTTTTAACATTTATGTTTTGCTATCATATTTTATTCTTTGTTTTTATTTTATTTAAGCATTCTTTTTACCATATGTTTTTACTTTTACTTAAAGTTACTTAATTAAAGTGTACAAATCGAATTACTCATGAGAAAAGTGTTTGTATTACAAGCTTAAATGTCACGATTCCTTTATATTTTTGTGACTAAATCGGCTTTCTTTTTTCTCTTTTCTCTAGTTCTTCATGACAATAAGCTCACCCATACAGATCTGAAGCCAGAAAACATCCTGTTTGTCAACTCCGATTTTACAATGACCTATAATGTAGAGAAGGTAAGTGAGCACCAACTCGATAGAGCACTCTAAGATCTCTCAGTCCTGCTAATACTATATCTTTCACTAATTTATAGTTCCATATATATATATATATATATATATATATATATATATATATATATATATATATATATAGGTCCATATTCTGGGACTTTCTGTTTTGTGTTCTGTAATTTAAAAAGTAATAAGATTATGTCTCGAAGTTGGCTTTTTGTATATAGAACTGCAATAAAAAGTAAAACTACACAAGTTTTTGTTGGATTCATTTAAGGATATACTTTCCAGGCCTTTGCATTATTCAGTGATCTTGTTTATTTATTAAATGTTTATTTTTTCTGTGTTGCAGAAGCGAGAAGAGCGAACTGTGAAAAGCACAGCAGTACGAGTGGTGGACTTTGGCAGTGCAACTTTTGATCACGAGCACCACAGCACCATTGTATCAACAAGGCATTACCGTGCTCCTGAAGTTATATTAGGTGAGTCCATTTAAGATGTGATCAATATATCTATTAGTGATGGAATTAGATTAAAAAGCTAAGCATCTGTAATGATTTAATTGTATTAATCACATTTTAATTGAAAAGTGTTCCTTTTGCTCCTATTTTGTAGAATAAATAAATAGGAGCCCGAGAAAACATATATTTATTTATTTTTTATCAATTATTTAGGTTATTCAACCTTCAGATTGGTTGAAAGGCAAAATTTACCTTTTTCTGAAACTCCTAATATTTAATGCAACTTCCTTGAAAGACATAATTTGACCAGTATAAGCATTCATTATAGCACATCTCCTTTTATTAAATACGGTAAAAAAAAAAAATTATACAGCAACAAGACACACAATGCTGCCATTAAGAGTTTTATTTCTCAAACAGACAACAGAACTATAACAGTTGATTTCTGCATAAAGCATTGTATTTCAGAGCTTAAAATGAGTATCATTTGATATATACTTGAAAAATGGTGGGACAGTATGGCTCATGTTCTATTTTATTTTGTTTAATTTTTTTTTTATTTATTAAATGCGTTCTGTGTAATTTTTTTTGTCTACTTTTAGAACTTGGTTGGAGTCATCCCTGTGACGTCTGGAGTATTGGCTGCATCCTGTTTGAGTACTACTTGGGTTTCACCTTGTTTCAGGTAAACAAAACGGCTCTTCGGCCAGAGTTTAATCAAATTTTTAAACTAAGTATTCATTTGAATGTGTATGATATATTTCAATGGCTTGGATGTTGTATGGACAGCTGGGGAAAAGAACTATCTAAAAAAATGTATTTAATTTTTAAAATATTCATTCTTCTTTCTTTTAGACTCATGACAACAGAGAGCATTTGGCCATGATGGAAAGAATCCTGGGTCCAGTTCCCTCTAGGATGATTCGTAAGACCAGGTAAGAAAATGGAAAGTCAGTTTGAGACACTGATATTTTCAAATGTTGAATGTTGCTCTTCTATCTAATCATTAGGAAGCAGAAGTATTTCTATCGTGGACGTCTAGATTGGGATGAGGCCTCGTCAGCTGGAAAGTATGTCAGAGAAAACTGCAAACCATTAAGGGTAAGTCTGCCTAGTTAGAAGAAATAGGTACAGTAACGGTTCTCAAGAAACAGGGCTGGTTTTGTTGAATTGTACTGCTTTTACTTACTGCTTTTTGTTTTGTTTTAATCAGCGGTATCTGCTGTCGGAAGCAGAGGAGCACCACCAGTTATTTGACCTCATTGAAAGCATGCTGGAGTATGAGCCCTCCAAGAGGTTGACGCTGTCAGATTCTCTCAAACACCCATTCTTTGAGAACAGTGGCACCAGCGACGCATCAGGCAGCAAGAACTGGGAGGGGAACCGGGACATCAGCCGGTGACCCCTGCACTTCAGAGACTGATCCAGAGGGGAGGTCCAGTTCCTCTCTATTTGGAGCAGCTGAACTCCTAAACCTGGACTGGAGGTTTATTTTGTTTTTTTGTTGGAAGTTCTAAAGCATGGACCCCTGAACTTCCTGCATCTCCAGCTCAACCCCTCTTGTTCATCTCTGCCGGCACAAATGGCATGTCTTTTTCTTCTGTGTTTTTTTTTTTTAAGCAGAGAGATCAGACTTAGAAATAAGACTGGAAGAGAGTTTAATCATTTCCAGTGATTACAGATTTTAATCCAAAGTAGCCCTCTATGCAGCTTCTGTCTTCCTAACGACTTGGGAACACCTTCCTCACTACCATCAGAAGAAAAACGATGGAAATGAACCTTTTCCACACGCAGTCAATAAAATAGGAATCAGTTTGAAAGCAGAGATCTCTCCCAGACCTCAAGTCCAGGAAAAGGGTCAAGAGGAGATAGAGCTGTATATCCAGTAAAAGTTTTGCCCCATAAACTTTGTTCTCTAAGAAGAGCAAATACCTTAAACTTCATCTACAATTCAGTCCACAGCATAGGCATGTATGTCCTGTTTTTGTTAATATTGTTAATGAGCCATTGCTTTTGCTTACTTTAGTGTTTTATATCTAAAAGAGTTGTCCCCTCCATACAGTGAGACAATGATGTTGGACACTCCCCTTCCATTAGCCTCTCTGGCCTGATATATATGACGCCCGTTTGTTTTGTTTTTCATTGTTTTCTAAGTGTGAGTGTGTTTCTGTGTGTGTGCATGGGCACACGGCTGTGAATGGGATGGGTGATGCGTTCTCTCTCTGCTCTGTAGTTTAGTTGCGCATTATTAATGGGATCATTCTCATTTTAAACAAAACTGCCTTTTCCACGTTTCACAGAAGAAGTTATGTTACAGTTAAGCACAGAAATCCTGTTGATGGTATTTATTTTCCAGTTCCTGTAGGTCGTAGTCCACATTATCCTCCTGAATGTGACTTTTTTTTTTTTTTTTTTGTATGAAATGAAAGCGTATAATGCTGTATATATGTATTATTGTGTAGAATTAAAGTCTTCTTTGCCAAAGGTTACTAACGAGTTCAGCCGTGTGATAGCAGACATGGGGGTGTTCAATCCTTACTGTGTTAAAGTCCATCTGTTCCTGCATTCACAGCTGGCTGATCTTAAATGTGGTGGGAAAACAATCTCATTTTAATGACTTCTAATTCTCTTAAAAAAACAATAAATAGTTATTTTGAACTTAACATTTGATTCAATAACACTCATAATAAATATGTTTAAGCTAGTAGATATTTTGGCAAACGAGAGGCTTATTTAAGTGGTGGTGTCTATTTAATTATTTCAGAAAATAATTTTGACTTTATTCCTTCCCCTAAATAAACTCAGCAGCCTTGTCATGATCCAGGGACTAAGAAACGCGGACGATCTGCACCGAGAGAAGTGGAGGACGCGGCGCACCATGTCCATCTGTTGGTAATCTTTATGTTGCTCGATTAAGCTCACATTCTCATGATTCATGTCTCAATATTTAAGCAATGTGTGTCTCATCTTTAGGGACCTTTATAATAAAATTGATGTTATATCTACTATGAAATCGCCTTTGCATTAAAGATACACTGCATTTTAAAGTATTCATGCCCTTAAAAGTTGTAGAACCATCTAGGATCCCACCTTCCAGTCTTAGGTGGTATGCATACCAGCTTTAAACATTTATACAGTTTTTGCTAAATATTTCAGGATCAATCAGATAGGGAAGAGGATCTGAGGATGTTGAGTCTTTATCCAGATTCCTGTTTGGATTTAGGTCTATGCTTTGTGTTTTAACAGATGACCATCCTTTGATCCAAACCATTTATAGTAACTGGCTCAAGCTAAGCGTCATCATCTGCTGAAGGTCTCAACAGTGTTTTGGCCTATTTGGCTCCATCCACCTATAACTCGACTAATACTATCATTGCTAAAACTATTTACCACACTGTCATAATATATAACATCCATTGTAATCTTACTTCAGATAGTGTGTGGGGTGTTTGGTAAAAGCATGTTTTTTCAGTCATCTGAGCAGAGCGCCATCTGCAGACATTTTTATTTAGCTTATATTAGTGGAGCGGGGTCTAAGCACAAAAACATGTCAACTTATGCTCTTCTTGTTTCTATCATAGGGAAATGTGTGGTTTACTGCATAAATGTTATAAAAATATAAAGTCAAATGATCACAGGTTGTTATACTTTTGCAGAAATCTTATTAGATTAAAATCTACAGATACAAAACATTTGTTCCTTTTTTTTTTGCAGTTTGAAAGATACATGTATTTAGTTAGATTTCTCTCCATAAGAATAGTAAGGCCTTTGCGGAGGATTATTTTTTGAAGTGAGGATCAAGTAATTTCTTCCTGCACCTATGATTCAACAGAGTTCCTTCAGTCAACGAACTAGTGAATGAAATGAGTCATTCAACGTTGCTATGTGGGCGCCTAATGCTTCACGTCAATGAAAAGACACATCCGGAGAAAAAGACGTCATCCAAAGGTTGCCTTCCATCCTTGAGTTTCTCAAAGCTCCGACTGGCCTCAAATGACAGTTTCATCAATTGTTCTATGACGTTTTCACAACCAAACTATGATTTATTGAATAAAATGCAATGTTGTTTTGAAAAGCCCTTTTAATACTTCATATTGATTTACGGTGTTTTTTTTTCTTACCAGCCAACTGTAAACAGACAGGTCTTTTTCCGGCCCAGATTTGTCTTCGACTCTTGTTAATGAGATAAACGTCTTATGCATTTGCAGGTAATCCTATTTCAAGACCAGCAAAGTCACCAGTTGAACCGTCACTAAGTCCAGACAGAGGAGGAGTGTAGACAAAAAGAGCAGACAGCGATTCGTCAGCTGGACATGGTGCATCTACAGATATAACCAGCATCGGAACTGAACAGGTCAAAACTTATCACAGGTCAGTAAAGCTTCTTATATAAATAACCGAATAATAATAATAGATTGTATTGAAATACTTTCTCGATGTTTTACAATTTGTATCTCCACCCCCTCCAGGCTGACTTTGCCTTAAAGCCAGACAGAGAACTCCTGTGAAAATCTACACACCCTCTAACGTCCAACACACACACTCTAGAAATGGATTCCCTCATGTCGCTTGGTGCTCCTCTGAAGCAGTTTACCAGCTATGTGTCTGGCACAAAAAACACCAAAAAGAGAGGGGGCAAGGGGAGTCAGTCCGTCCGAAGGTTGAGCATCACTCGCAGGAAAAGCGTCAGCAGGAGGAGAAGCCTTCCATGCAACAGCCAGAAGGTCCCAGACTCCTGGCTCAGGGTGTACCAAGAAGAACTGAAGAAGGAGAGGTATAGAAAAAAAGTCTGATCTATGTGAAGAGGATTGAACTAGTTTCATTAACTCCAAGAGAGGCAATTTTTTTATGTTAAAAAATCAGTATGAATAAGCCAGTAAGATTTATCCACACATTACTTTCCTGTTAAGACTCTTGGCCAGGCAGACTGAGCTTAGTAGGGATAAGGCTGTGTGTTACATGAATAAGCTACTTGCCCATGTGCCACTGCTAATGCTGCTCTGTGCTGTTTTGCCAAAGGAAACGTCAGCAGGCCATGCTGGCTAAGAAAAACGCTGAAAGAAATGTGCGGAAAACTCACTTCAGGAGTCACCACTGCCTTCCAAGGGTAAACAGAGTTCCAAGAGGGATTTATTTTGCTGTTGATTTTGTTACGTTTTGTTTCTGATGGTGTATTCTGTTTATAGCAAACCACTGCTGCCAGAAAACCTGCACCCAGAAAGGATGACTCCATCTTTGGAGCCTTCCAGGGCCTCAGTCTGGACGGTCTGACAGGAGGCGCTGCTGGACCTCCTACAGGAGGTGGAGGAGATCAGTGCAAGGTTATGTGAGGTGCGACAGTTGAAGGTTCGGGGGAAGGATCTACAACAGGAGAACTGCTGCGGATATATCCGTTTAAAGTGACCGATTTCTGTTTTGTGATAAAAGCAGGAATGCTTTATTTGTGTAGCATTCAGCTTATGCCATGTTTGTACACTTGAAAAGTCTGTGGACTGTATTCATGCATTTGCCAATCCAGCACATCTTTGTAATCATTTTAGCAAAAATCTTTTTTTTTAATTAACTTAGATTTACAGCTTGAAATCCAAAGGAATGAATATGTTTTGTATTTCTCATGCTACATAAATTGTAAACAATATCCCTTCAAAAATGTTTGGTATCTTTATTTGAACAACACATCTTCAGGTTTAATATTCTGATGATCTCAGGTCAGTTTCAAAGCAGGTTTACTGAAAACTAGTAGGTTTTCTAAACCTGAAATCAGGGAAATAGTTTTCCATTTCACAAGTTTACTCAACCTCTTTTTCTGTTACCGTGGTAACATTTTCCTCTGGTTAACGTGGTCAGGAGCACCCAGTCAGCAACTCGGTGTCCTCTGTCTCTGCTCTCCTTAGAGCTAATCATGTATTATTTCTTGATTTAGTCAGATTTTTGTCATAGTTTTGTGCAAAAAATAACAAAAAAATCTTTACCTTTGTCCGTTAGACGCATTAGGTTTTAAAAGCAAATATTGCATGTCCTGTTGATGAGGATCTTATCAAAGAATGATCAGCATTTTTTCCACAATTTATTTATTAATAGGGAGAGGATTCTGCAACATATGTGGATCATTTATTTTTTTTATAGTACATGAAGAACTACTGAAATTATTTTTGGATTACACATAAATTAATTCTATGGGGAAAAATTAACTACTCCAGGGTTAGGATTAATTCAGGGATAGCAACCTACTGAGCCCACTGGGACAATCTGACACCATTCTGTGGGACTGATAACCTTTAATAATGGCCATGTATTGTGATGATAACGTCTGAAGTGGCTGCAAACAGACACTTCAGACACTAATGGAAGATAGAATCAAAATGACGAGGAACCCCATGAGAAGATGCACGGGTCACACGTGTTGGAACAGGTTTTATTCTTCAACTTCCCCTGCTGACAAGTGATGGCTCCTAAATAACCATATAGATCCAATACCGTTCAAGCAATACATTTTCCCTGTAATGTGATGGTGGTCACAACAGCCTATAGCTGGTCGTTTTTAATATATATTAGTTTAACTGAATATTTATTTCACATATCAGAAAAAGCATTTTTTCCTTGTCAAAATGACCATTTCAAACAAAATGACATTCTTCACATCTAGAATAAACATTGTGGGTATCTAGAAATTAATTAAAGAACTCCATATTCCTATTATTACTGGTCAGTACCGGTAATTGTATTATTTTGACTATGAACATAAATACGTATTCAGTCAAACTGATAAATGTCCAAACAGCCACTTAAAATATGTAAATATAAGTATAATTTTTACTAATATTTTGTTTTTACTTTCTTAGATTCAGTTTTTGCTGCCAAAATTTATATAAACCTATGAATTAACTTGAACAGCGCTATTTCTTTGTTGCCATAGCGCTGTTTAAACATTCTTCAATTATTTCTTTCATTTCTGCATACATTTTTTTAGTTCCAGTGATGAGAAAAATAGGCACTTCCTGTCTTCATGGTAACTCGTCGAATCTGGGCTCACTGATAAGTGCATTTTAATACTTGTCCAGCATGTGTTCAACCCTGAGGGGACCTAATTAAGAGTTAAACTAAATCACTGCAGTCTTTGTGAAACTGAAAAATACAGTTTCCAACCTTAGGCTACATTATTTCAGAGCTGAGGATTTGAGTTTGTTAAACCTGCTTTATTGAAACAGACCCCTCGGCATGAGTTCTTTAACAGTAAATGCAGCATTTTACAGTGCTGTTTAGATCTTATTGTAAATAATTTAACGGTTGGATTGGTGTCATATTTCAGACATGCACTCTCCACCAGCAGCGGCTGTTGCTCTCTAAAACAGGGGCGGTTCGATGATGTTAAATTCAAATGTCGAATATTTCATTAGAAAATGTTGAAACACATGAAACATCACTAAAATGGGTGAAAACAGCTGTTGTGAATCTCTCTGAAATAAACTCCAGAAACCACGGCAAGCGTTCAGCACAAAATGACTTCTGACTGATCAATTTTTTTCTCTCCTAATGATAGGGAAAACCTCTTCGCTATCTGGCTACTGCAGGTCAAAAACCCTCAAATATGTTTTCCAACCAGCTTCAAGCAGCCAGCTTCACAGACCCACTTATAGGCTGAGCTTCACTGGCAGTGGTGTATTTTAGCGTATTATCCAATCTCGAGTCTCCTTTCTTGCTGCTTTGATCAATAGACCGAGGCCAATACCTCAATAGGGGTTTCTAATAGAGGTTGACAGGCAGCATCCTGCTGCTCCAGAGAAGAGATGGTGTCGGAGAGCGGGCTCAACAGCTGAATGATGCGCATAATACTCATGAAATCAAGCGCATTTTAGCTCATATTCGATATAGTTTAATGAGTACATTTGACGTTTGACAATGCATATTTTATGGAATTTACAGGGGAGGTTTAGCCCCCCAAGTATTCAATGAAAAAAATCGCCACTTCTCTCCATAAAATGGGCACCTAGCTAATGGCACAAAAGTTCTGATCCTTTAGATCACAGTAAAGACACTGGAGATCAAGCTTTATTGGTGTGTGAAAAACAAAAGACATTATGCTTGAGTTACATTAGGGGAAGATGTATCGTCTAGATCTAGATCACAAGTATGTACAATAGAAAATGAAGTACAAAACTAACATTTGTAAGGGTAAGGAACTTGTCATTTGACAAATCAGGTTATGACTGTGCTGACTGCAGACAAGGTAGGGCATTCACAGAAGATGACAGTCTGACAGCATCACTCCCTCTGTTCCATCTTAACTTTTGGTGGTTTAAGGAAGGACCTGTTCTTTTTCTCTTTTTTTTTTCCTTTTGTTTGGAAGGTCCGCCAACTGTCCACCCGTCCATCTCTTGATTCCTGCATAGGTTTACAATAAGGATTAAAAATAAAAAAGCCATTCAAATGTGGCTAGTGAAAATTGCACCAAGACTCACCTCAAAGTTCTTCTGCCATTCTCTTTCCCGTTTTGCTTTCTCTGCTGCCTCAATTTCTTCTTCTCTTGCTCTTTTCCTGGTCAGACAATTTATCAGGGGTATAAAAAAAATCACTGTGAGAACACAAACTTTGGGCAGTCTAACTACGACATCCAAGTTGTAAGAAAATGTTTCTCTTACCTTTCATGCATTTCCTTTGCTTCTCTTTCCTTCCTTTTGATTTCAAGCTCTGCAAAAAGCTTCATAGTTTGTTTGTATACTGCTTGTCTGAACTAAAAGCAAAAAGGACACAACCCAATTAACCATTACATTTATTACAGGAAAAAAAAAAAAAGATCAGTTGACCTGATAGTTCCTCTCAAAATCCGACTTACCATATCAGGGTCATCCTCCTCCACATCCTGAGGTTTTCCATCTTTTTTTAGTTGCTTCTTTTTCTGCTTTACCTGCTCAGGACGGATAATATCGTGCAAACGGATGGAAACCACAAACTCATGAAATCTGTCTGCAGTTCAGCCGAGACAGATGCCACTCACCATGTGTTCCACATATTCCTTTCCCGCTTGGATCACATCTACTGCCCTCTTCTTCTGCTCGGGCTCCAGTAAGAGTTTGTAGGCCTTGTCAACAACTGAAAACAGATCACAACAAATAGCAGCTAGCCAAAATGTATACATTTGTACACATAGTTACCAATTTAGCTCTAACCTCGGTACAATTACCTTAAAAGTATATTACAATAATTTTAAAATACACATGGGATATATGGACAGAAATAATCATACCTTCAAAGGCTCTCTGTGCTCTGTCAGGATCATCCTGGTTTTTGTCTGGATGGACCAAAATCGATAACTATAAAAAAAAAAAAAAAAGATTAGGGTGGAAAAAAATAACATTGAAGCTAATTTGCCCCTTACCCAATTTGTACATCAGTTTCATATGCATATATTATCCATTTCACCATTTCATATCGTTCTCCTTATTTAGCTAAGCCATAATTATCAATGTATTTTTTAAATAAATGTTCATCGAAACTATACATAGTTTCTCAATATTTACAATGACACTAATTACTAAACGCAAATATAATCAGTTTGGGCCAGTTGATCTATGAGCGATTATTTAAAGGAGTCACACAACCACAAATGCCTAAAGTAGATCATTTAAATCGAGTTGTATGAAATGGAAGTTTGTTTTGAAATGCTTTGCAGCCAAAATATCATGTACAGAAGAAAATGTGAAATGGTGAAGCTTTGAAATAACAGCTACAAGTAAACAACCAAAAACTGTAAACAAATGAAAAAGAATTATGTGTCCTTACAGCTCTAAATCTTTTCTTCAGCTCCTCATCTGTTGCTTCTGGATCAATCTGCAACACCTGAAATAAAGTAAATATCTAAGCTAATAAGGATGTGCTTTTTCCAAAATATCCAAACTCTTTAGAGGTTCTGACTTGAGACAAATGGTGTCAAGTCGTTAAAAGAAAAAAAAAAACAAAAAACACTGGATAGATATAATAACAATAATAATTTACCTCAAAAGGGTTGAGATTAAAGTACGACGAGCCAGGTCTAAGCAACCTGTCAATCTGCTGCTTGGATGTTAACACAGAATCCCTCTTCTCAATCTGCTTCACCTGCAAAAACAGATCATGGTTTATTAAAAAGGTTTCATTTTTGTCTTTTGTCCGTGTGAATTAATGAGCAATATGCTTATCAAAGAAGGAAATTATTTATGTAAAGCTCAACTCAAGAGACGCATTAAACGCCCCATTTAAAATATTTAAATGAATATGAATGCATCTAATAATAGCTAACTTAGACATAAATCCCCCCCATCAGCAGATGCTAGCTTTAGTCGTTAGCCAATGCTTCCATACACCAGGCCTGGTCTGACCTGAACCATTGAGCCACCGACATGCAGACTTTGATAGAAATCATTTAATACTGTAGATATTAGGAAATTCTCACATTTATAGCAGTATTTCATTACCTCGGTGTAAAAGCTTTGGAATAATTCATCCGAAACAGTCTGAGAGGAAGATTCTCCTCCAGCGGCCGCCATTTTGCTCAGGTTTACATGTGACGTATCGGGTCACGTGACATCCAGAGGATTCCAGACGTAAGGCGTCATTTGTCCGATGACGTTAGATTAAACGGAGGATGGAGGCGTGATTTGTCTTTTTCATCCGATCTTGAGGACGAGTCTTGTATTGAATTCAATTAGTTTGAGGGGGAAAAAACGTCAAGCGTTATTTATATATTTTTACAGAAGAGGAAAAAAATGCGGAAGTTTAATGCCTGAAAACGGTCCATAAACATTTACCGTATGTACCAACAAGCAACGCGAGATATGGATTTGAATAAACCTGTGGTGGTTCGAAATTAATATTTTGATTATTTATAGCTTGAATTATAAAAAAAAAAAAAAAAAAAAAAAAAAAAATCACACACGTTAAATCCTCACAATGTCACCAACTTATCCAAACATCTGAACAAATCAAATTAGTCAATTTCTATCGAGAAAAGCCAGACACATAATTTTAAGAGAATAAATAAAATAAATAAGGCAGAAGAAAGAAAATAGATTTTATTCAGATTTGAGTTGTAACAAAACAGTCAAACTTTAATACAAATCAAAGTACTTTACATGATGAAAACAAGTACATTTCACTGCTAAATTAAACGTCTGCAGACCAAATCTAGTCATTTCAATTTAGTTTAAATAGAACAGTAAAATGCATCTTTATTATTTTTTTTTACTTTAATTTACAAGCTTTTCTGCATCTCCATAATTGGTCCTGATTGTGTGGATGTAAAGTAGGCTTAAACCAGAGGTTATAGGTAGCCTGGTGGGTTAGAAATAATACATCTGTATTGTATTTAATGCAAAGCCGCTCAGTAGTTTAAGTCTATTCCCCATGATACGTGTAACTCGTTTAACAAACTTTAGAATGTGGGTATTGCTCTGTATTTCTAACTTAAATGAGGGCAGGGGTAGCAGCAATCCAGGTCAAAAGTGGTCAGACTTTTTAGACAAACTTATTTAGACACTGCTGCAGTAATCAACTGATTATATATAAACACACGGATCAGTTAATCAAGATCCTACTTGAGACACTAGCTCTTATATCCAATATATCATGTTTGTCAATAAAATAAACAATGCAGATTCAACACATTTTATTTATGTGGTGAAAATTATTTCTTTAAAACAAACAATGTACATGTCATGCTAGAAGAAATAAAAATCTTGATTAAAATGTTTAAACACATTTTGAATCATATCTGTACAAATACTAGCATGGATCGTTTTCCTTTTAAAACAAATCTTGAAACTGGATAACGATGTGGAGAAGCAGGCTGCCAGATGTCTCGTCTCCCCTAAATACAAAGAGAGAAGAGCATTGAAGTTACTCCAATCTGTTCTACAATTACCTTTAAAACTGAAGCTTAAAAAATGCTCTATTTAAATAAGCTAAATATATATATCTTGCACTCAATAGCTGCAACAAGGGTCTTCACCTTTCCCCCCCCTCTCTTCTGTTGGAAAGCTATGGAGCCGTTAGATCCAACCCCAAGCGAGTGAACACCTGCAATGGATCAGTCAATGACCAGGTGGAAATCAGCACTCTGTCCAGAAACTAAAACATGTTCAAATAGACAAAAAGATGCTGATGAATCATTACAAACAACTTGACCATCAAAAAAGAAAAAAAAAATCTCCCCAAGATATACCCAGCAAAATAACAGGAGCATAATAAAAACATTTTAATTCCAAACAATTTTTTAGTTCATAACAGTGCCTTACCAATTATTTATTTCCAAATCTGTGAACTCACACGGATGTGGGCAGCTCCTTTACTGCCTAGTGACAAGAGGCAACATAAACACACAGATCTGATATGAAAATGTGCTTAAAGGACACTCAGGCATTAACAACTACCCTTTTGTTGCATCTGCCCACACTTCCCGCACCCTACTTTTACCAGGGAATGAATGCAGCCCCCATACTGCCATCTGGTGGTGGTCAAAGCTAAAGACACCTATTTTTTTGTGTCCAGCCATTGTTCCATAACCAGCCAGTCTCTGATGTTTTCAAAGCATACTCTCCTCTGATATGCAGAACAACTTGGTGAGGAGGTTCTTAGCTTCTTATATACCAAATACATTTCTAATTTAGTCTTTTGTAATTCAGCGTCGGATAAAGCAAAGAATCACTGCTCACTTTGCATTTAAGCCGCTACCTCTAGTGGCCTAGGAGGGTAAATGCCCAGCTCCTCCTACTTGCAGAATGCCTCTGCAGACAGCTGCAGTGGTTTTGGTGCAGTGAGCCAAGATTTGCAACAAATACGAGCACGGATTCACTCGCACTATGTCTACAAAATCTTTCTGCACTCTTGCTTTTTATTAAAGTTCCTTCAGAGAGCCATGTTCTAAACAGCCTAAATATTCCACCCAATACCAGAGATAAAAAAAAAAAAAAATGTTTTGATCCCTAGAATTTTACTGGACAGAAGTCTTAATCCATCATTTTGTTTGATTTCCAAAAAGCTGGATTTTATTTGAACTGGTCTTTAGATGGTTCTTCAATTGTGTGATGTTTATTTTGTTTGATCTCAGACCTAATTCAACATGTATGTAAATCATTTGGACATTAGAGCACATCATACCTGGCCGACACCCACGTTTTTCCATTTCATTCAGATTTCCTGTTGGAGGCCAACTTCATAAGCATTTTTTTCAACAAAAGCAAGTTTACCAGTCTTAAATTTGACTGAAAATGAAGCAATTCAAATAAAAAAGAAAAGACGACAATTTACTGGTTAAGGTTTAAGGGTAACTGAGCTAATTTTTGAGCAATGACCCTCACAGAAAAGGTGCCTAAACTGAAAAGAAATCTCTTCTACAAGCATTTTTCAAAAATCCAATTTAAAAAGAGAACCATACACTTTGTTATAAGTCTCCAAACCATTTTTTTTTTTCAATTATCTCTAGATGTACTGTACATAAAGCTGAATGTTACAAAATAAAATATTAAGATTACATGCCTGCTTGATCCTTTTGGTCTTTGTCTTTCAGATTGTCCATAACAGATTTTCAGATGCCGTTTATTTGCTGAAGATCTGCTAGAATACCTAACAGTTATACTGTTCTTTTCATTTTTATTCCATTTACTCTGGTTATAAAATTACTAGCCAGAAAATGAGTGCGGGTGGGAGGAGCATATTCAGGATCCTTAAGAAGATCTGGAGAACTGTTGATCAATACAACTAAGGCTGCAAGAAAGTTTGGCCCATTACAAGTTAAAAGAAATTAATATCTATAATTGGCATTAAGACTCTTTCTTATAATTACATAAATCAAGCTTAAGCTTCTCAAGTTAACTACAGGAGAGGAGGCAGTACTCTGTGCAAGGCTGGCTCACCCTCAAGTACTGTTCAGGTGAGTTCCTCATTCTAGTGGTGCCGCTCACTTTGCTTCTCCACCTAGGCAGGTTGGAATAAGAGGACAGACACATGAAACAAAATACAAAACAATGACACCAACAGGTATAGACTAGAGGTACGTCATTTGTCCTGGTAAGCACATTCTCTCAGCCTCTTTCTCTGGGTGAGAGTATGTTTAAAGAATGTTAACCCTTAAAAAACCAAGATCCTTGATGTCTTTAAGAGGGGAAAAAAATAGATTGTAAGGGAAAGGGGATGATTCTGGAAGCAAGATCCAGTTTAATCAACTCAAAAAAGAAGATTCAAATCAAAGCTGTGACTTTTAGTGTACATAACATTTTTAAATTTAGGTATTATATGGTTCTTCATTAGTCAAACTTGTTCTCACCTTTCAATCTATTTTAAGATGCAAGGAATAAAAACTCTACAACTAACTTCATCTTTGAAACAAAATAAGGGCGTTCAAAGAAATATAAATGTTCTGGAAAAGTCATTATTCACCAAATAGTTTTATGATTGCAGCTGCAAAATGCCCAAGGTAAAAAAAAATAAAAACTGAAATGCAGTTTTTCCAGAGTGATGTATACTGCTTTTGCTGACATATGAATTGCAGAAGGAAACAAAGAGATGGTAGAAAAAGCTTTGGGGATCACTAAGAAATGGGAAAAATGTGTTAACTTCATCTGTGTATGCAGGAAATGCTGTGGTTTTGCCTTGTTAAACTCTGCGATTTATATTAATTTACAGTTCTCCCTGGAGGGGGAAAAATTGACTTTGAAATAAAATCTTATAAATCAAAGGTTATAGATCAAATCACAACACTGAGTTTGAGTTTCTGACAATGGACTGATGCTCATCTGAGTTTTATTGAAACGGAACAAACGTAAAAGTTATAAATACAAATAACATCAGAACAAACTGCTATGGCTCTTAAGGTAAGCCAAACCAATTTCTACTGGGCAAGTTGAAAGAAAACATGGAAGTTATGTTATCAGTTTTAAAAAAGAAAACACAATTTAACTATTTCTAGAAATGCTAGGCGTACACTTCGGACGTTACAAAACTTTTATTCTTTTCTCCTTCGGGCAGATTCTTTTCTCCACCATTGCAAAAAAAAAAAAAAAAAAAAAGATTTAATACAATAGTCAGTCTTGTTGTATTTGTCTAGTGCAAGTACTACTCAGCATCAGATCGAAAAAGGATAAACTGAGCAATCAGAATTCAGATTTATTTATTTTCTTTTTTTATTATTTTTATATATATATATATATATATATATTAAAGGCTTTCCGTGTTGTATTGCGCATTATAAACAAAGCTTTAAATCTGTCGCTCTTTTTCTTTTCTGTTTTTTTCTGTTTCAGGTGTTTGTTGGAAAAATCCCCAGGGATTTATATGAAGATGAGCTTGTGCCACTCTTTGAGTCTGCTGGTCCCATCTGGGACCTGAGGTTAATGATGGACCCTCTGTCTGGTCAGAACAGGGGTTATGCTTTCATAACTTACTGCAACAAGGATGACGCACAAAAGGCTGTGAAGCTTGTAAGTATTCACAATCCAACAAAGCAAGTAATATTGTCATCTAAAAATGCAAATTTTCCTGATATCAATAACCTTACTAATAATTACACCAGATTCTGTGTGGTTCTGTTCTGGTACTTTGGTCTTTTATTAAAAATGTACTTTAGGTAGGATTTTCTACCAACATTGAAGACGTGTTTTCTTGGATTCTTTAACAGTGCGATAATCATGAAATCCGCCCTGGAAAGTACTTGGGAGTGTGTATATCTGTTGCAAACAATCGCCTGTTTGTTGGATCGATTCCAAAGAATAAGACCAGAGACAGTATATTAGAAGACTTTGGCAAAGTTACAGGTTTGTTTCACTTCTAAAGAAAGCTCTTTTATTGCTATCTAATTAGGAGCTATAAAACGTATTTTTTCTTAACAAGAGATGTTGTAAAATTATCTTGCAGAGGGACTGCAGGATGTGATTTTGTATCACCAGCCAGATGACAAGAAGAAAAACCGTGGCTTCTGTTTCCTTGAGTATGAGGATCACAAGTCTGCAGCTCAGGCCCGCCGCCGCCTAATGAGTGGCAAGGTCAAAGTTTGGGGAAACCCAGTTACAGTGGAGTGGGCTGACCCCGTCGCAGAGCCTGACCCAGAGGTCATGGCAAAGGTGAGCAGTCCACATTTTAATCTCCATTCCCAGCATTTTGTTCGTCAAAAGGCTGACAAGCTGTACCTTATTCACAGGTTAAAGTGCTCTTTGTGAGAAAGTTGGCCACGTCTGTCACTGAGGAGCTGCTTGAGAAAACGTTTTCTCAGTTTGGGAAATTAGAACGAGTGAAAAAGCTGAAAGATTACGCATTTGTCCATTTTGAAGATAGGGATGCTGCTGTAAAGGTGGGTGGTTTTATTTTTAAGTATAAATGATGCAAATATAATGATTCTCAGTTATTTATAGTTAATTTTTCTCAACATCAGGCTATGGAAGAGATGAACGGTAAAGAACTTGGAGGAGAGGAAATCGAGATAGTCTTGGCAAAGCCACCAGATAAGAAGAGAAAAGAGCGTCAGGCAGCTCGCCAGACTCCCAGGGGTGGCGGGTAAGTAAGAAGGTCACATAATTGGTCAGCTGTGTTACCGTTTGTGTGACTAATCAAATATATATTTTTTCTACAGGTATGATGATTACTACTACTACCCACCTCCTCGCATGCCACCACCTGGCCGAGGAAGGGGCCGTGGTGGCAGGGGGGGCTATGCTTATCCTCCTGATTACTATGGCTATGAGGACTACTATGATGACTACTATGGCTATGACTATCATGACTATCGTGGTGGCTATGAGGACCCTTACTATGGCTACGAAGATATGTACAGCATGAGAAGCCGTGGTACCCGCCCCAGTAGGGGTGGGCCTCCTCCACCAAGGGCTCGTGGGGCTCCTCCAACACGAGGTCGTGGAGGTTTCGCTCAAAGAGGGCCACCTATCGGTGGTCCTCGTGGGGCACGAGGAGGACGGGGAGTACCTTTCCAGCCTCAGAGGGGCCGTGGTCCTCGCGGTGCCAGAGGTAATCGCGGGGGCAACGTTGGCGGAAAGAGGAAGGCCGACGTATTTAACCAGCCTGACTCCAAGCGCCGCCAGACCAACAACCAACAGAACTGGGGGTCCCAGCCCATCGCCCAGCAGCCCCTGCAGCAAGGGGCCGACTATTCCGGTAACTATGGTTACAGTAATGACACCCTGGAGTTTTCACAGGATTCTTATGGGCAACAGTGGAAGTAGATGCACCTAAAGGTATTTGGCAACAACACAAAAAAAAGAGGAAAACAACAAAAGAAAAAAAAAAGGAGATTGGCCACGATTTTTGATTGACTTTTTATTCTTCTTATTCTTCATCCCTCATGAAAAATATCTGTATATACATATATCACAGAAAAATGGACAGACTGCAGAATTGGCTCAAGACGATTGGCTGGAAATCCTTTTGGCTGAAGAAATGAACGTAACCGTTGTGGTCATTTCTCACTCCTGCGGTTACATTGGGACACATCTTTAAAAAATCAGTACAATTTTATTGTAAAGTTTTGTTCCTGGTTGTTTTAAAGCCAACAATGAACACTGACAAAAAAAAAAAGGACATTCATTCTCCAAATTTTGGGTGGACACTAATACAACATATGATCTTGCAGGAAGTTTCTTGTCCATGCTCCCATTTTCCCTTCCCCTTCTTGTACTCCTTTTTAATTTGTGGTTTATTATAGTAGTTTAGGATCATGCTTGTAAATAAATGCATATGGTTAGAGCTTCGTATTCTTTTTTTTTTTTTTTTTTG